GGTTTGTGCCCCTCCCCCATGTCCTCTGAAGTGACTCAAATGTTGTCAGTCTAAGTGCACAACTATTTTTACCACAGTGTTTGGGAATCTCTGGGCACACACTGTCTGCAGATTAGGTAAGTTACAGGTGCCCAGGTTCATGTTACTCATTTAGTAGCCACAAATTTAAAGCACTAATCTATCTCTTGTGAATTTGAATTTTGCCTTTCACTTAGTGGTTCCTTCCTTTGCCTTCTATTCTTTAGGACCACTCATTGCCCTTGCTAGATGACCCTGCTCTCTGTAGGCTAGTCTGTGTTCTGTTCCTTCTTTCTTTTCTCTCTATCCTCTCTCCTTTCTTCTACCCCTTTTTTCTTTCTTTCTTTTTTCATATTTGAAAAAGTATGATCATTTTCTGATAGGCCCTCAGTTCTACTTTCTCAACTAATGACTGAAATTGCTTTCTTTGAACCAACAATTTGTCAATATCTCCAAATAACCATAAAAAATTCTTTACCAGTTTCTGACAAACCCTCAACTGTGTGTCCATGTTTATTTGTTCTTTGAGTTTCTTCCTACTGTGACCGCCATCCCAATATACAGGTTCTCCCAAATGCTTCAACTTTACTCCTCAGAAGTACCAACCCAACATCTCAGAAACTTCTGTCCCCAAACCATCTTTCCTTGAAGTTCCCATTCAGCAGAAACTGTTCATTGTCATATACTCTGAGGGGACTGCATTCCTTTCTTTCCAAGTTCTTAACTCAGTAATTCATTTGTGTGACCTTTAGTTACTGTCATTTTCCCCCATTAATCTGAAATTTTAATAAGAGCATAAATGCATGAAAACTTATCATTAGTCATTAGTTTCAATGTTTTCACTTTGATGATATCATTAACACAAATAAATCCCCCAATTTATCTTAGTCATCTTTCTTACTAAATTTAGGTTTTACAATGGATTCACTACAGGCCTTATGAATTGAGAAGACCATTAATATTTGTTGAGTGTATATTCCATACTATGGACTCACATATATTATTTCATTTCATACTTCTAACAAGAAGCCTATTGTGTATGTATTATATATGTCATTTTATCTCATAAAACTGAGGCTTGGAAGACATAATTAAGAATGGCTAGAACTTAGATTCTGTCTTGCTCCAAAGTTCTCTACCACATACCTTCTTAAAGGCACATTGTTAAACCCATTGTTAACTGAGATACCATATTCCTTTTCTTCACTGTCCTCTCCATAGAGAAAATAATTCAAGCTTTTTTGAAGAAGATGGAAAATGCATTTAAAATATTTAAACATGAATTAATAATTAGCTAGTATACTAATTGAAATCTTTCAATTCTATCATATACTTAGTTTCAGATTTTATTATGAATGAACTCTAGGTCCTTGGAATGGTATATTAACAACATATTTATTTCCATATTATTACTTACTTTTCCTTAATTTTTGAAATGTATTTTAACTATTTGAAGCTTAAATTATTTCAGTTTACATCAATGTGTTTTGACCACTTGTCAAGATTTATGTCTTCCAAGTTCTACTGAAAAATATCATAACTGCAGTTACAGGCATCTCATATTTTGTAAACAGTTTGAGTTCCAACAGTTCTCTGTTAGTTGTTTGGAATCAGTGAGTTTTCTCCCACTGACTTAATCTAACAAAGAATGGTATTTCCCAACTGGCATTTTCTTTTTCTCTCCTCCCACTTCCTGCCCTCAACCTCCAAAACAACAACAACAAAAAGAAAAAGAAAAACATCTACTTAAACTAAGGGGAATACTAATGCTAAACTTACTGGTCCTAGAGCATGCTGGAAAATAGGGATTTATAATTTAATAAAGAATAACAATTCAAAGGGCAAAAGTTAACTTATCAATGAAAAGGTGCCCCCTACATAGGAGGCTCTTATCAGCTCCCAAAACCTCTCTTTATTTGTGTTTTAATCTTCTTTTTCTACATTTTTATACTGGTTGCTTCTCTACTGGTGACACTTGAATGAAAGAAATAAAAAGGAAAGAGAACATTTACATTATTTAGCAGGTTCTTGGTGTGCAGATTTCCTGGCATGTACCTCTGAAAGTCAGTGGAGAGCCACAAAATGGTAGTCTTAAATGTTACTGCTATTACCCAAGCTTCAAAACTTCTAAGTAGTAACAGTTTATCATTTTTCTCTTTACAATAATAAAGGTATTTTATAGTGTGTACTATACTTTTTCACTTTGAATTTTGTTTTGTTTTGTTTTCTTATAGTGTGAGGGTTTGAATCCAGGGCCTTGCACAAACTAGGCAAGCACTCTACAACTGAACTACATCCCCACCTCTTTTCAATTTATTTTTAATAATATACAAAACCAAATATTGTCCATATTAATGAGTACCATGTTGTTTTGATACATTGTATAATGTTTAAATCAGGTTAAGCATATCTATCTTCTTAGAAATTTACCAGTTCTTTATGGTGAAAACTTTTTAAGTCTTTACTTCTAATTCTTTGAAAAATACATGTCATTATTGTCATCTATAGACATCTACTGTGCATTAGCACACCAGAACTTGTTGTTCCTCTAACTATAACTTAGCACTCACTGATTGACTTTTCCCCATCCCTCCCTTCTTTTTCCTTTCTCAAATATGCTACATTTTAAGTAACTTCACATCTTTAAAACTCTTATCTTCACGACAAACCTTGAGAGTATGAACATGTTTTATCATTATATCAATTTTATGGATGAAAATATGGGGATTAGAGATGTTATGGTTAACTCAGTCCTCATAGGTCTGAAACAACTGACTTCTAAGCTTTCCATACCCCAGTTCCAGGTTGATTTCTCCAAGTTTTTTGTCCCTTTATCAATTTCATTCATCCCTCTAGATTGAAATTCTATGAGAAGTTGGACTATTTTATCCTTAGCACCTGGTACACTATCTGACAGTTAGTAAATAGCAAATAAATATCGAATACATGAATTTCTGTCATTGTTATCTTAATTATTTGAGCAACAATGCCATGTAATTGCACTTGTCATTATATTTATAAGACACAGCATAGTGTCACTAAAAGCACAAGCTCATTTTCCATAACAAATGTTTTATTTGAGTTGTTGAAGCCTTCAATGTGTAATCTTAATTACTGACTTTAACAATCAAGGGACTGTTGGAAATGGAAGAAAAATCACAAAAAAATGTATTGGCCTCTTATTACTCTTCCCTGGGCTTCCAACCACTCCAAAAACCAAAGAATGGTTTTCAGATTTGAGAAGCAGTTATATAGCTACACAATAACAAATACATAAAACCTGCCAAAAATGTTACAACTTAATATCCAAAGCCTGTGACTCAATGGAGATTGTGAGTAATTACCTTCTGGAATAAGCAACTTGAGTTAAAAATTTGACTAGTTCCTAATTATCTGACAGTTGATTCCTTGCATTATCTTCACTCTCTCTCTATATTTTTATAAAGTCAAATGGAACATAGCCTATAATCATCACTGCTTGAGGTAGAATAATAAGACCTTTCCATCTAGTTTTTCAGGCACTGACTATAAAGACCAAAAGCAAGGTTGACTGTCATCCCAAAGGATGACTTATCAGTGGAGGGAGTGTAAGAGAGTTCTAAGGAAGGAAATTAAATCAAATAAAGGAGGAGTAATAGGAGAAGAGAACAAAAACTAAAAAGGGGCAGGAGGACCTCACCAACAGCTGTGTTTTATTTTATTTCCTTTATGAGGAAAGCTTTACACAGCTTTAGCTATAAATGATAACAAATGCTCATCTTCCAGCTATATGCTTTACATACATGATATCAATTGAATCTGCACCAAAACTTGGTAAAGCAACCACTATTACCTTGAAGAAATCAAAACCTAGTACTTAGTCATGGATGCATAAGTAGAAATCAACCTAGCTGGGCCTTGAAGAGACTTCTTTGGAATCTAGGGCCCATGCTCTTCACCTTTGCCCTATAGTACCTCCCAAAGTACCAACCCTGTTTGTAATGAGCCATAAACACACTGCAATAAAAAATTCTATTTCTTTGCCTGTGCCTTCTCATATAAATCCTATCAATCAAATTGTTAGAAGTCAATGCACAGTGAGAATGCAATAAATAAGTCGAAAGCATGAGTATGTAAAACCAAAGCACCTAGGAGGGGACCACAGGTGCATTCCTAAATACAGAGCAGTTATTGTGTCTTGTTTTCGCTAAAACTATTCTTAAAGAGGAGTTATTACATGTATTGTGTCCCATCCCTGATCTCACACCTAACTTCATATGTACTACTACTCCACGTGGAAGGAAACAGAATTTCGATATTGATTGCCCCCTTCCCCCAATAAAATGTAGCTAGCCAAGGAAGGTAAGGTCACTATGGAAGAATCCAGAAAGTCGTTCATACAGTGACAGCCAGCCCCTCCAGTTCCCAAAACATCTTACAGCCTTAGTAAAAGAGAGGAAAGAGATTTACCTGCTTCTATTGAGGCTGAAGCCTGAAAGTCATGTATAACTTGAAGTCATGTATAATTTTGAAGAACAGTAATGGATTTACTCAGAGGAATAGCATCTTTTTGACAAGCAGGGCAGAGAAAAGAACTGAACCACACTGCAGATACGAACCAGGCTATTTTGGAGCAATGGCTATTGCCTTTGAAATCTTTCATCATGAGTCTATACTTAGAATTCAGATGAGTCCAGGGGGGAGGGGAATGGCGCAGTGTTAATCCCCAGTTGTTTTGAAGTTGTCCTGTAAGCAGGTTAGGTCTAAACTGTCCAAAATGGAAGCATTGAGTTACGTGATTCTCTCTGTGTATTTTATTTTAACCTGTTCTTCATATAGACTGTCATATCACTCTGGGAGGTGACACTTCTCAGTTTTCTTTCAAGCTAGATGTTCTAGAGAACACTAGCTGTAATCACATTGGGAGACTGATGCTCCATGACAGCTAAAAGTTGGATTGAGTTTCAGGAGCTACTATATATAAAGCTGGGTCGACTTATGTCACCGCACTAATTAAATACCATCTGGGTGGTTCCTCTGGGGTTTTGAGTCCATCACCCAGTTCAGATCGAGTCAGAGGCCAAGAAGGAGAACATGATGATGGACCTTTTTGAAACTGGCTCCTATTTCTTCTACTTGGACGGGGAAAATGTTACTCTGCAGCCTTTAGAAGTGGCAGAGGGCTCCCCTTTATATCCAGGGAGTGATGGTACCCTGTCCCCTTGCCAGGACCAACTGCCCCCGGAAGGCGGGAGCGACAGCAGCGGAGAGGAACATGTACTGGCGCCCCCCGGCCTGCAGCCTCCCCACTGCCCTGGCCAATGTCTGATCTGGGCTTGCAAGACCTGTAAGAGAAAATCTGCCCCCACCGACCGGCGGAAAGCAGCCACCCTGCGCGAGAGAAGGAGGCTAAAGAAAATCAACGAGGCCTTCGAGGCACTGAAGCGGCGGACTGTGGCCAACCCCAACCAGAGGCTGCCTAAGGTGGAGATTCTGCGGAGCGCCATCAACTACATTGAGCGGCTGCAGGACCTGCTGCACCGGCTGGATCAGCAGGAGAAAATGCAGGAGCTAGGAGTAGACCCCTACAGCTACAGACCCAAGCAAGAAATTGTAAGCAAGCCCAGATGCTACCAAGCAGGAAAATGCAAAGGCTGATTAAATGCCTTCCTAGGAGCCTTAACCTCCAGCTGCTTCGTCTCTTTTCCCTTCCCCCTTTCTCGCCCGCCCCTTCGGCTCCCTCTCTCATGAACCCCCAGTGACCCAAGAAGATCGAGTCCCTGCAATAGGCAGGAAACGCATACTCGGCCCAAGGAAGTAGGAGAGACACCCCCAGAAAACTCCCCGATCCCCGGGAATTTGTTTCTTTCCTAATCATCTATTGCTTTGGTTTTCCCTCCAGCTCGAGGGTGCGGATTTCCTGCGCACCTGCAGCAACCAGTGGCCAAGTGTTTCGGATCATTCCAGGGGGCTGGTGATAACCTCTAAGGAAGGTAAAGTAAAACAAAGGGCACGGGGCCGCGCCAGGGAGCATTCCGGGAGGAGCTGGGTGCTGGCTCCGTGCAGAAAGGGCGCCAAGTGAGCGCAGGGACGCCGTCCGCTTGAGCTGCCAAAGACGCCTTTCGCGGGGCTCGGAGCTGCGGGCTCCTTCCTTCCTTGGTACCACGTTGGGGTGTGTGTGTTTGTTTCCTGTGCTCAGGAGGAGCGAGCGTTGATTCGTCGGCCTCCAGCAGCCTTCGATGCCTTTCTTCCATCGTGGACAGCATTTCGTCAGAGGAACGCAAACTCCCCTGCGTGGAAGAGGTAGTGGAGAAGTGACTCCGTGCTGGCGCCTGCGACATTTTCCACGCAGCAGGAAGGCCCTCTTCTTCGCCTAATCATTTAGATTAGGTCACACTGCATTCATATTTAGGAAACCCAGACCCCAGAGTTTATGAAAAGGAAGGAGACATATTCACAAAGAAACTGTTGTACAAACCCAAATGGAAAGGCCTTTGGGCTTTTATTATTGGAACTGCGAGTGATTTAGCTCTAGAACCTGCCCTTACTTTGTTTTTGTTTGGTTTTGTAATATGTTAACATTTATTATGGTGATCCTTTTGTGACAAATGCAAAAGAAGTTCATTCCTGTCTAAAGCAAAGTGGGAACGTTTAATCTTAATGGTATTTAATGTATTTTTGTAAATACTCCTAGTACTTTTATTTTGTATGTAAACTTAAGGAACCTATTTTAAATGCAGAATGATGGATTGTATATAAAATGTGTGGGGATCTTGGTATTGTAATATTAAAAATAAGTTTCTATATGAATGAAGTTGGCCTTAATTTGATTCATCTGGAAAAAATGTTCCAAGACATGTGTGCACAAATAAAGAGAAGCCATATTTTAATTTACACACCACATAAGCCCATTTATTTGGGTGTTTTCTTTCAGGTTGAGTAAAAGAGAGGGAAATGAATTGCTTTCTTTTGTCTCAACTAAGCTGGCACTTTAATATTTCATACAGCTCTCACACTTGTGATTAGAAGTGAAGGAATCCACAATAAATCTATGTTTTCCTGTTATCAACTATCAATATTCTCCTTCTTTCTTCCTCCTCCTCCTCCTCCTCATTCTTCTTATTCTCTTCTTTCTTCTTCTTCACTTACCCAAGATTAGCAACTGCATTTTCAATATACTAAAATCTGTTGTAAGAAATTCCACAAAAAAACTCTTTGCTTGTTTTCCTAAAAGATCTTCAACTAATTTAGTCCAAATTATTTTCCCCTCCTTGGAGTTCCAGACGGTTCCCAAACTTGGCTCTGGAGTACCCAGGTGCTGCGTTTAACTCTTCTCCAGTTTTCTTGAACTGGACTGGTTCCTAGCAGACTGGAATATCCTCAAGGACTCTCTTTGGCTTGTGTTTGTTTTCCAAATAGAAAGATAAAAGAAGGGAACAATCTGTCTCTTGAAGTGAGGTGGGCTTCTTTGAAAGAAGGGTTGCTTCACCAGACTGAAGGGTTAAATGGTTGAGGGCAAAAGGCAACAACAACACACATGAAACCTCTTAGCAGGGGCAAACAGCAAAGCCCTAGAGAGACAGGAAACCCCAGGAGTCCCTTCCTATGAGGATTTTACAACGTGTGCCAGGTTTGTTTATTCTGTAACCTCTAGAAGAAACGACCACCAAGAAACATAGTGGGATGTGAATGAAGCAGAGGAAAGGAGAAAGCCATTTCTGTTGAATTGCTACTTCCCTTTACTTCCACCTTTCTCCTTTCCTCTACAGCTAGTCTTTAGCTTACAGGTGTGAAAATCAAACTGTTCAGTATTTCCCAACCCAACCTTGTTTCTAACCTTCCAAGGGCTGGAGTTTCCAATCCTGCACTGCAGATGTACTAGACAACACCGCAGACAGCACCTCCTACAGGCATGTAGAAACTTTAGCTATCCCAGAAAAGAAGGCCTCTTTCTAGGGAGTAATATAGGTGAAACATCCCTTATCCCAAATACTTGGGGCTAGAAGTGTTTTGGATTTCAAAGTGTTTCATATTTTGGTGTATTTGCACAAACTTTGCAGTTGAGCATTCTAATCCAAAAAAATCCAAAAAAATCCAAAAAATCTGAAATGCCCCCAAATCTGAAATTTTTTGAGTGTCATGTGTTTGCAATCACAAGTTTGAATTTCAGAGCATTTCAGATTTGGGGTTTTTGAATTTGGTGTACTCAACCTGTTCTTTGTTTTTAGAGCTATGGATAATTTGAGTTTCTTCTAAAATGCTTTTTAAATATGCAGAAAGTTTCAAGGAAACTGACATTGACATATAATCCCCTTCAATGGTCTGAGAGAAGCAGTTGTGACATTCAGTGGAAGAAACTGCTGAGCTTCTGTGGGGCCTACCTCCATTAAACCCAAGCTGCTACTATGTAGCAATTCTGATACAGTCACTGCTCCTATTTAGTCCTCTTTCCTCATTTATAAAAAGAAGGGGGAGGATAACAGTTCCCGACTCCCAGGGTTGTGAAAATTCACTGAGAAAATACATGTAAAACGCTAAGCCCAAACAGGGCACACATAAATACCAGTTCTCTATTTTTCATTAGTAAATCTAAATTGGTCATCAAAAGGGTTTTATAACCCCAAATCCCATAGTTCCTTCCATCTTTGCCAGCTGTGGCTGAGCAAGAAATTTGTAACAATGAACGGCAACATGAATGAGCTATTACCAGTGAGAGAGTACTGTTATTACTTCTACTTTAGAGAAGAGGACCCCTCCATCTGGGGAGTATAAAGTCAGGACTCAGAGCCAGGCAATTATCATGGCTACAAGCTTGTTCCCTCAACCACCAAGCACCCTGAAAGAGAAACCTTGGGAAATTAACAAGGAACATTTTATGGTCTGCAGGATAATTTGGCTCACTTTGCCAAATGTTTTCCAAAAACTTTTTCTCAAGAGTGGCTAGCTAGTGAACTCCAAATGAGATCAGTAACTTTATTTAAAAAATAAATGATAAAGCATTTGCCAACCAAGTATGTACGACTATGCCTGGGTACTGTATATCCCCATTAACAAGGCATCTTTTGTTATTATATGTCTATTACATGTATGTGTATAGATACAAATACACCAATATTTTGAAAAATTAAATTCATTACATGACTGAAATAAAATATCAAGTGACAAGGTGAGCTCATTTATTTTATGATTTCATATATATTTACATATTGTAAATTACTCAGCAGCAGAATGCTTTTATCAATTCTCAGACTTTACTTGTTGATGGATTTTATTCAGTCTTTGCAAATCAAATCCTCTCTATCTTTCTGAGCTAGGTAACTTGAGAAATTGTTTAGAATAAGTTTGCCTATGGAAGTTTCTTCATTAAATATTTCTCAAAGACTTCGTGTGACCTCCACTGCTGTAGCTGACATATTAGGCTTTCCAATGAAACCTTTGGTGTGTTTGCAATTAAAATGTTTTTGTTTGATATTAATGATGATAATCTTTACCAAGGCCAAAGCCAAAACAAACAAGACTGTAGAAGCAGAAAATCAAGACATAATAACTTGGCATAGATAAGCAATTTAGGATTGAATCTGAGCCTCTTTTCAAAGGCACATAAAAGTTTTCAAGTACAAAACAATGAAGGATTTTCTGTTATATTATTACAGAAATATTTAGTGAGACAGTTTTCTCTAACTTAAATAATCATATATTGATCCCTGAACTCTAAATCTGGATCTTGTAGAAATCCATTTATGTCAAATGGTCTCACTTTTCTTCAAACTCTTTTTATATATTTTTGTGGTGACACTAGTGAAGAAATTCATCATTTTCAACTTCTCTTAAGACTGGCAGACCAAATTTGGTGTGTTAAAGTGAGCATTATCTGTATTAAGACATTCCTCACTTAGAAGAATTTACCACTTGTACTTTCTTTTTTTGTTTAGTAATATTTTACCTCTTTTCTTCATCTTATAACCCTGTCTCCACAACCACTATACAAGGAAATTTTTATTTTGCTTTGAACTTTGAATATCTCATTGCCTAATCCAGTGCATTAGTAAATTAGCAATAGCATGGTATTTTCCCCCCACAAACCCCTCCAAGTAATTCCCTCAAACTAATTAAATTTATACAAGGTGATCCTTGGTCCTAAAGGTTCAGTCTACTGAAAGCAACTTTTTGCAATCCTAGTTCAGAGTCAGTCTGTGAGATGAAGTGGCTATGCCATGTGCTAGAACAAAGATAAATGCTGTAAGGCCTGGCTACTTTCTCTACTCTCAAGGCTGCTAAATGTCCTTACTTACTTAGTCCTTTGATCTCTCCTGGGAGTCTTAGAATTCAAGCAGAGGCCAATGTCTTCCTCAGCTGTCTTCTCCACAAATTCTTCCAGCAGCTCTGGCAGGTACTAATGTGTTTACTTAGGTGTGCTGGGTCCCCAGAGCTAGTAACAGTTTGAAATTGTTTAGCATATTGTGAAATCATCTATAATAAGCAAACCTCTCAAAAACAACCCCCTTTGTTCAGTTGATAAGGGTCTGCAGGTAAGGGCAGAAGTGAATGGTCATGGATTAATTTGTATTTCATTTCTTCCTCTAAAAGAAGCATGGAGAATTTTCAATAATGCAGAATTCTTGGGGCAGACAGATTTTTACTATGGAAAAAAAAACTTGTTTATAAGTCTAAATCAAACGTACATTTGTTCTTTCTCAGAATGCAAAAATTCTAAGCGTAAATAAATAAATAAATAATCCATCTTCCTCCTCAGAGCCTTGGTAGGTGTCCATCTACAACTCTGGGGGCTATCAGTTGGTGTTTTTTTGTTGTTTTTTTTGTTTTGTTTTGTTTTTTGTCAGTCATCTGTTTACTAGTGTAGCTTTTCTTGCAGACAGTTAAGTGTTGAAATATCATTTCTAGCAACCTGCTTACGTCTTAAATAAATGTGAGTTTTCTTTGTAAGAAATTCACTTCTCTGGAGAAACAGAACTAAGCAGAGTATATTTTCATTCTTCCTGTGAGGAACAAAATCTAATCCAGTGTCATTTTAAGTAAAAGGGCACACTGACTAGTAGTTCATCCATTTTTAAAGCAAATTTTAAATTTTTCTGTACTTGTAAATTTCTCCGCTCAGTTACCCCCTGCACCCCCCGCCCCCCCCGCGATATGGCTCACTCAATACTGCTTTTTTATATCCTTGCTTTCTTTTCTTTTCTTCTTTTTTTTCCTCTCAGTCTCCTGGGATGGAACCTTGTCTGAATTGGGGACTCAGTTATCTTTGAGGTGCTGGTTTCCTTTCTTCTTGTATACTGCCTCCCTTTTTTTGATGTCTTTCTTCTCTCGCCCTGACAGTGGTTTAAACGTTGTGTCTCATTTTTTTCCTTTGGCGCTCTGAGAGCCTATTTTCAGCACTTGGGTCCCCAGGGTCCTCAACCCTGGACCTTGGTTCCCCCGCCAGGCAAGTCTCATTAAGCCGCTGGGCGCTTGTGTTTTCTCGGCTTCTTGAGTTCCACTCTCCCGCCGCACTCTGGTAAATTTGTTTTGAGATCACCTTACCAAAGGCAGCCCTAACCTCTGCGAATTACAGTTACTGACAGAGGCTCCCGAGTGACAGCGTCTTCCCAGGCACAGGACCCCGGAGAAAGTCTTCCCAGACAGCTTTAGCTAGCTTCTGCCCGGGCGGGCCGACTCAGCGCACAGAGCGCGAACCAATGGAAGAAACCGAAAAACCTGATCTGGGAGCGAAGTCTCCCAGGATGGGGAGCCTAGTTTTAATCAGTGGTGACCTGAGGCGAATTGTCAAGCCCTCGAATTTGGTTTACCTTCTTTTTAAAAATCAATTGGCTTGTAGCTCCCACAGGGCCCTTAAGAGTACTGAGTTAATGTGTGGGAAGAGCTAAGAACAGTGCTTGGCACACTGGAAACTCTGAATAACTGTTGGCTACATATGTCCCATGCTGAGCGGATGCGCGCAAAGCACCTTAGGTGACTTCAGATATTTTAAGGACCAAGTTCATTTGTGATCAAATCATAATTCTCTCTCTTTCAGCTGTTTCTCTCTGTTTCACCAAGGTGATGGAGGAAACCTTCCTTCAGGAACTTGACTCTTTTACGGAGTAAGCCCTAGGCAATACACTCATTTCAAAGGCATTTGCCTAAAAAAGATGCCAATGGATTTCTCACTGGCCAGGTGATTAAGTAGCCCATTGGTGTAAGAGGGATCTTGATTTTCAAGGGAAATTTTTGTCTTAGGGATGACAGGACAGAAGAAAGCAGACAGAAGACAGCGAATAGTGATAGGCATGCCAGCAAAACTTAGTGACTGACACTGTCACTCTTGGCCTGGTTTTCAGGCTTTCACTACAAAGAGATCTCACCCCGAAAAAGTGACAATTACTCTGGCCCCTACAAAAGCCAGATCAGCCAAACAGGGTTGCTTTAGGAAAATAATTTTGGAAAAGAAAAAAGGAAAGCTCCCCCTCCCCCACCCACTGCAATAACTTTGGAGCCACCACACTGGGATTCTTTCAACGGGGCCACCAGGCCTGATCCAAGACCCTAGACTAACTGGGTAAACATCAAGTAACCGTTTTTCCTAAATATAAACAGCATGTCTACCCCCAAGTGATCTGACCGTGGGTTAAGGAAGAAGAGAATTGGTAAAAGCTGATTAATAGACATTTTTACTTAAATAGTAGCCCCCCCCCTTGCCTTTTATCCACCAAAGTTTTAAAAACACTGCTGTGATTGCTTTTTTGGAAGGCTGTTGTCACCAAAGTGTGTGAAGTCACTCTTGAGTTAAAGGAGTTGGAAATTTTACACTGGCCTGGGATTGCTATGCCAGCAGCTGGGACACATCTGTAACGGTGTGAGTTTGCCTGAAAGCAGAAAATTAGCAACCCCAAAACCCTGTTTGGCTGTTTAGTCTGTAGAAACGATGGGCGGAGCAGGAAAAGAGAAAGGAGACTTGCTCCTAGAAGGGGAGTATGTGATCTAAAGCCGGGCTTCTTCCTTTGCCAATCTTAAAAACACTTTGGAGTGATTCTTCACCTGCTCAGGTTCTAGAGGAGGCCAGGCATAAAGGAGGAAGGTGCTCAGCCCTCTGTGCAGAAGGGAGAAAGGAAGCAAACAAGGGAGGCGTGCTCCCTGTCACTTGGTCCTCTTGAGTTCACTTCCTTTAAGATGAGCAGAAGAACCAGCAGGAAATCCTGTCTTAAAAGAAAACTCCCCTCTCTTCCCCAATAACTTGAAGCCAATGAAATGACAATCTCATCAGAATTTCAAAAAGCACATGCTACATTCACTCTATGAGTGCAACTCACCTCAAGGGTTTAGCAACTATCATAGTGCAGTTACTAAAAAACACCTGCGATGAAGTTTATGAAAAAGAGACACCACACAAACACCTAAGAATAGGATTGTTACTCTTGTCCAGGATTCAGAGGGCAGGCCAGCTCTCTGTTCTCAGCTGAAAGTGGGGAGCTCTATGTAATAATATTATTATTCTTTTAATACATGATGAAGCTCAGAAAGTTGTCATTGCACTCTTTAAATGATCCCTTGGTTTAGGTCATCCAGAAAGTGCAGGTGAGCAGGTCCGGGAGCATCCCCACCCCAGCAGAAATGCAGTAAAACTATTAGTGTCAAAAGGGCCAGTAAACAGCACTGTCTCTAGAGGACAGGCAGAGGTTTGCCCAGACAGCCCCCGCGGGGTTGCGGTGAGATATGCTAATAGTGCCCAGCCACTTGGGCCAGCCTCCCTTCCCCCACCACCCAAGAATATATAAAGAGCCCCAACCCCAGCAGGCAGACCCAGGCCAACAGGCGTCTGCCCTTGTTAATTGCCAGAGAAACCAACCCCGGAACTCCGGAGCTCCACCAGGGATTTGCCGGCCTGCAGCGGCCCCAGGCTCGCCTTTCTCCCTTACCTATCTCCCCGCAGTCCAGGTGCACCGCCTGCCCCTCTGCAGGATGGACATGATGGACGGTTGCCAGTTCTCACCTTCTGAATACTTTTATGACGGCTCCTGTATCCCATCCCCCGAGGGTGAGTTCGGAGAAGAGTTCGAGCCCCGAGTGGTCGCCTTCGGGGTGCACAAAGCAGAGATGCAGGGCTCAGATGAGGACGAGCACGTGCGAGCACCTACTGGCCACCACCAGGCTGGTCACTGCCTCATGTGGGCCTGCAAAGCGTGCAAGAGGAAGTCCACCACCATGGATCGGAGGAAGGCGGCCACCATGCGCGAGCGGAGACGCCTGAAGAAAGTCAACCAGGCCTTCGAGACACTCAAGAGGTGCACCACAACGAACCCTAATCAGAGGCTACCCAAGGTGGAGATCCTCAGGAATGCCATACGCTACATCGAGAGCCTGCAGGAGCTGCTGAGGGAGCAGGTGGAGAATTACTACAGCCTCCCAGGACAGAGCTGCTCCGAGCCCACCAGCCCCACCTCCAACTGTTCAGATGGCATGGTAAGTCACAGCCCTGGTACCCACTTCAGCTACCTCAATCTTTTCTAAAAATTCGTATATCTCATTTAAAGCAGGTGTAATGGGATAGGATGGGATGGAGGTAGTTGCTGAGTTGCTTTAAGAGAGGAGAGGTGTTTACATTTAGAAAGGTGCCAGGAAAGGAGTGCTGAACAAGATTTTAGCAGTTTATCCAGCATCTGCTAAGAAGATAAACATTGAAGTAGAGGGCTGGCCTGTGAGATAGATAACCAATCATATGATTTTTGTTATTCAGTTTATTTTCAATATATACCACCTGCGGACCCTGCCATAGGCTAACATCTAAAGGCAACTATCTGAAACTCCCCCAGCCCCACAGTTTATAACTGAATGAACAACTAGAAAGAAGTGACCACATGGCCACAGTCCCTGCTCTGCTGGGGCCTGGCTGGAAGGAGATGTGGATGCATTCTTTTTCAGAGGGCGTTTGCTCCAAAGCTGCCAGATTTTAATGTGTTTTTGCTCTGGGAAAGTGTTCTCCCAGCATTAGTGTGGCTTCCTTCTACTCCAATCCATTTTGCATGGTTAACCCAATGCACATTGCTGCTGAATTCCACCCTCCCCCTTAGCTGCTGCTCTCCTCTTCAAGCACAGAGATTGACCTTGGTGCCCTGGCAATTTGGAGAGGGCCAACGCTTTCTAAATCAAGGCAATGAAGGTGATTGAGAAAGGCCATTTTCCTGAGTTGGTGGGCAAACACTATCTCACCCTAGATCAGAGAATCTTTTGCCAAGACCTGAAAATAATTTCCTTTTGTGCCTTGTGTTATAGCCTGAATGTAACAGTCCTGTCTGGTCCAGAAAGAGCAGCAGTTTTGACAGCGTCTACTGTCCTGATATATCAAATGGTAAGAAATGACAACTTCAGAGGCATTTAAAGACCAGTTCAACCCTCATAATTCAGACTATTAAAGAAGATTCTGTTCTTCTGGGTAGTACTGGGCTAAGAGATGAAAGTGTGGTTCTTATGGGGAGCCTTTGATAGAATAAAGTAAACACACATGTTGTACTCTAAATCACCCTAACACACACACACACACACACACACACACACAAACACACTTTTACTTGAAATATTACCAGGGTAGTTCCTCGCTCCACACCTCCACCCTCAGGAATTACCAGATATTTGTTGCAAATTTCTACATCAGGCTTTCTGTGATCACAGAGGTCATCTGGTGTCAGAGTTGCTGACCTATAGTTTAAGGGGCAACATCAGCAAATGTATCTGTGTAGGGATAATTTCTTAAATGTTTTTCTCCTTCTATCATTAGTATTTGCCACAGATAAAAGCTCCTTATCCAGCTTGGATTGCTTGTCCAGCATAGTGGATCGGATCACCTCCACAGAGCAACCTGGGTTGCCTGTCCAAGACCCAGCCTCTCTCTCCCCAGTTGCCAGCACTGATTCACAGCCTGCAACTCCAGGAGCCTCTAGTTCCAGGCTTATCTATCATGTGTTATGAACTAAATATCTAGTCTAGATCAGTTCTGCCAGGAGGGCCTATGACACAGAAGGAAGTACGACCAACATGTCCAAAAAAAAAAAAATAAACAACCTGTGTATAATGACTTATTTTCTGTGTAAATTTGTAAATATCATCTTGTCACTTTATAAGAAAGTGTATTTAACTAAAAGTCATGATTGCAATGAATACTTCCTTCTCTTTTTTTATTTTTTTCTCTTCATCTTTGCCTTCGTTGTTTTAGATACATAGTTCCAATAATACTATTTCTAATAGGGGGCAATTCATTAAATGTAGCTAATTACAATGCTTAAATTATATATATTATAAATTTTGTTCATCAAAATGTCTATGGTGTTTAGATCTTTATTTTTTTTCAAAACATTTTAACATCTGGGAATCAGTTACAGGGAATTTTAAATATATTTAACTTTTGCTTTTCTCTTTAATCTTTCAGTTATATTGTATCAAATAAAATATATATAACAATACTGCCTAATGGTATATATTTTGATTTTTTTATAAGAAATGCATCTTTGCAATGTAAGCACTAAAAAGTACATTGTGGATTATTTCAAGATATAAGACATTTTGGAAATTCCACTATAAATAAAATTATTTACTAAAAGAAATATTTTGATTCTTGACTTGTCAAAACAGCATCCTTAAGGAATTAGCAGTCAGTGACATGGCACCTTTAAGGCTAGGCTGTGAATACTCTTGTAGTTGCTTTGTAGATAAATCTGAATATTTGCCATCTTATGGACCTTGTTTAGGTCTTGTTGATGTCACAAATAAAAATATTATATTTTCATTTTAAATGTATTTCAAAATAGCCTCCTAAATGAGATTTGCCCTGTGTCTTAGTGTTGTTCTATATAATATCAAATTGTATGTGTGAAAGGAAAGTAGAAGTTTCCTTTACTTTCTTTTCTAAAGGACAATAACACATATTTAAGCAAAAAAAAAGTGTGCAATATTATATCTTTTTAACATCTACAATAACTCAGAAATCATGAGTTTGGTCTTACTCACTTTTTCTACCTGCCTGAAAATATCCTGATACATCAGAACATTAATATTGTCAATAAAATACTTAAAGTAATTGGGTCTATTTCTTGGCATTGTTAGAATGCTAGCATAAGAAAACTTACACATACTATAGTAAAGGGAAGTGTACTTGTAATTGTTATCCTCATTTTTGCAGCCTTTTAAATTTTATTAAGTATATTATGCATGTATTTTTGTGAAATGGACATATATTTTTATTATTCACCTTAAAGCTCCCTTAAAAAGAATTGAGATGAAATATAGAAAGATTAAGTGGAAAATTAGATTGAGACAACCATTGGGACAATTTTCACAAATTTATCATTGAGAGGTAAAAAGAAAATATCCCTGAAGCATAGCAAATAGTTAATAGAAAACAGTTATTCCACCCTCTAATTTGTACATTAGTTTAAATTTGCTAAGGGTTTGTGGTTTTACACACACACACACACACACACACACACAACATATATTTCTTTTTGCTAGAGGTTGGCAATACTTTCTTAGGAAGGTTTCTCCTCTCTGATTGATTTTCTTATGCCTGTCCAGTAATTAGGTTTAAAGGAATCTAAATTGTTTCGTAAGGGAAGAAAAAGGAGTGAATTAAAGGAATTATCATGGTCACTGTTACTATGATAACATATTGACATGATATGGAATGCACTTTTTAGCACACAGAGAAGTATTTCTTTATGATATGGTAGTGTAAGGAGTTTAGATGAAGAGAATTCAAGAGACATGACAGAGTTTCATGTGTGGTTTCAGCATAAATTTGAACTGTTCACTTGTGTTAGACCCTGGGCTAGGCACATTTTCTTCTTTTGATATTTCTATTGAGAGTTTTGAGTTTTTTGTTTTTAGAATCAGAAAGGAAAACCACTAAGATATTCAAGTTTTTTTCAGTTCAGTTCTTAAACACATAATCATATGCTGCTCCTTTTAATAAAATTGAGGAGAAAATGTTAGGAAACTTTTAATGCAAGTGAAAGAATTTTTTTTCATATTAAATCCTAACTATTTCTATAACTTTCATTGCACATTTGATATGTTCAATGATTATTACAATGAGTTAAAGTATTTAGACCTTTTCCAGTAATCTATATTTTGTTATTATCACATTATTGATGTCCTGGGGATACATTGTGACATTTACAAAGGTTCTTACAATACATCATAGCTGAATTCACCCATCCATCATTGTCCTTTATTCCCCTCTCCTTCCCATTCTTAGAATAGTTTCAATAGGTCTAATCATTTACATACATGAGTATATTATTTCCACTATATTCACCCTCTTCACCCTTTCCTTATATCCTGCCCCTCCCACTAGTGATCTATATTTAATACAAATGGTGATTCGTGTGTGACTAAAGACAATACTGTCTATGCCAAGTTGGTCAACTAATCCAATTTCTATTGTACTAACATTGAAGGCTGGTATCTACTAGTAAACGGCCTGGCACAACACATTGTTTATAGTCTTCTATACACTTTTTTTAGATAATAAATCTTTGGAAATTGAGGGATGGGGGAAGAAAATTGAACTGACAAAGCATTCAAGTAAGGATAAGATCTTGCAATCTATGTATCTCTTGGAGTAAAAAATCTGGTTGCGTCTGAGTTTGTGAAAAACATGCAACCAACATGAAGTTGAATTTCTAAAAGTAATTAAAGCAATATCTATCCCATTTCTCATCTACAAACTCTGCAAACTGGATGAAGAGAAGGTTCCTGGAGGTTCAAAAGAGCCTCTTTTCTCCTCATGCTTGAGTCACATATGAATTATTTTTCATAAATCCCCACTGAAGACTAGGGTAACTGGTAAATGCTATTTGGAAGCAAGTTGTTATGCTCAGGGAATACTTGATTGTCTCTATTTTCCTCTTACTTGAAAGATGCAAATCAGATAAAATTAGTGGCTGTTTAATACCTATAAATTCCTCTTTATAATGGCATTGTTACAAATACTTAATCTGGGAATGGTATTTCCTGAAATACTCTCTTTGGATTTATGACAGCTACTAAAGTGGTAATTTAATACTCTGGGTTGCGGAGGTGGTACTTCTGAAAATGATATTAGTGTGCAGCTATGTGTAACTTCAGAAAGACTACTTGAATGATAAAGTGCCTGTGAAAATATCACCAGTGAATTTTCCCACATGGTCCCAAAAAGCACAGGACATCAAACATTTCTTTTATGAAGTCTAATTATAAATTTTTAGTTGATTGGTGATTTGCCTTATGATAAGAGTATAAATCATGACCACTAAAATTATTATAGTCTTAAAATCTTATTAATATTAGCCTTTGTAGAGGTATAAGTAAGATAATTTCTATCTCTATGCCTATTAGTTCACTTCAATACAGATTAAGCAGAAAATACTGATACAGTCACAACTAGCAATTATTGAATGCTTAGCATTGTACAAATAAGGAAACCAAGGCATAAGGAGTTTTCCCAAGAACCACAATAGCTAACAGTTTCTTCACAATGCCTGTTCCAGGCGGAAGATACAAGGCTTCTCATTGGAAATCCCAAGATATTATTTCTGCTGTATACTTTTGGTCAAGTAAGTTATTAAAGCCAGCCCAGAATCAAGGAGAAGCAAATTAAACCCACTATTCAGTATAGGAATTAGTAATGAATATGCATCCATATTTAATTATTGCAATTCCTAGAATATACTGGTTGTCTCCATTTTCTTACCGTTCACTCATTCCACTGACATCTGCTCTATCACTGTCCATAATAATTGATGACCTTCAAATCAGTCACTGTTTCAGTCCTGGAAAAGCTTATACTTCTAGGCTAGAGGTCTTCCCTGATCTTTAGTCCTGTATATCTGCTGTCTTCTTAAAATTCCTTAGAAATCTCAATGGCATATCCAACTCAACATATTCCAAATTAAACATCATTTTCCCCCCTCTTCTTACCTCCTAATTGAGTCCCTTTCAGTGTTGGCTCTCTCAGTGAATGACATCATCAATTGTGTAAACATGAAATTTAGGACATATTCTTCTTATCTCTTTCTTGTACTTTTTTTAATTCATTACAAATCTTACAAAATTATTCTCCTAAATACTTCTTAAATCTCTGTTCTTAATGCAAATTATAATTATCTCTCTCCAGAAGTCTCATAAAATCATCTTAACCTTTCTCTATATAATTACTCTGTATCCTCTACTTCTGGCTTACAACATCCAAGTTTTTCTATGTGACTCTTCCTTTTCTCTCCTAAGGTCATGTTGTTTGGGTGGGATAGAAAGTACCAGTTAGCTCCAGAAATGAGCAAGTCATTCAGCACTGAGCATGAGTATATCCTCTTCTGTGATTGTTTCAAGGATGAGCATGGGACCCAAGTTGTTCAGTAAATGGAAGTTCTGGGACTTCCACTGGAACTAGAAGAAAAAGGATTTTCTCTTTCTACTGGTGTGAAAATATATGAGATTTTTGCCTGTAGACTGCCAGCTGTTATCTCACCCCTAGAAGAGGAGCTCTTGCCCAAAGGTAAAGCCAACACAGTAAAAAGCAGTGATATGGTACAGGAATATATTTCTGTAAACAACAGTAAGTAATAAACGGATCCTAAAATGTCTGGATATCTACTTTTGGCCATAGTTTACAACTTAGGAACCAACAAGTGTTTTTTTTCCCCTTAAACCAATATGAGTCCAAACTTTCTTAATTGAAAGAGAAATAATCTTGCACAATATAAGTGATCTGTTCTCCATATCATAGCTATAACAATGTCTTAAAATATTCATCTGAGCATGTCAACCCCTTTATTTTCCCTCCCAACTTACTGCATATAGGTTAATAACAGAACAAACTTGTTACATGACTTACAAGATTTTTTACTTCAAATGTGCTGTCTTCTCTCTGGTCTAGACCTTATTTTCTTCCATTTCAGCCTCAGATGACTGAAGTCATCAGGGTCTTTTATTGCCAAAGGGGTTTTACTCATTCTTCTCTCTTCTATGCCAGGTAGTCAATTCCTCTTCTTTGTTCATATCTCAGCTCAGGAATCAAGTCCCACCTACTCCATTTCTGACTTAGCTGGTTCACTCCTCCTTAAGAAACATGATGTTCCCCTTCTTTCAGAGGTCACCACATTTGATACCAAACTTAGTGTGGACAACCTATGGCTCAGAAGTACTGAGCTCAAGTGATTTTCCTATCTCACTTAGAATAGGTAGGACTACAGGCATGTGCCACTGTGCCCAGTCAGGCATCATTTAAAAAACAAGAATTCCCTGAACTCTGTCACAGTATAAGTCCTCTTGTTCTATGATCTCAATGTGCTGTATGCTTTTTTTCTCTGTAGCATGTCTTATGATTAAAATTATACATCAGTTTTTGTGATTACTAACAATTTTGCTTCTACTATGAGGGCAACAAGAATATGCTCTTGACCATCCCTATGTACCTCAGAGTATAAGAGGAAATACATTGTGATGCTATAAAATATAAATTTGGTCTTGGGCTAGTTCCTTAGTATACAACTCCTAAAATCTCTGGAATCTCCAAAGTGATATGTGTCTTTTTTATGTATGCAAATGAGTTTATTGATGGCTGGCC